TTATATGAAAGCCATACCAGCCACAAGTACAATATTCTCAGCAAAGACGACTACATGGAAGACATGGGCAGCTCAGATGATGACCACCCGGCTGATGCCGGCGACCGCGCTCGCTCCAACATTGCCTCGTCAGGTGACGAGGCCGACAAAGACAACTTCTTTGTTGCTCGGTCATATACCAACATATAGGATTTGTCGCGTACAAAAAATAACATGGGGGGGCATTCAAGATGAAGTCAAGTGAAAAGATCATCACCTCACGACTAAGTGATGTCGTGGTGAAGATCACGATATTACCGACATGCTCGACATCGTTTGTTACAACAGTCTACAAGGATGGCAAGGTACCTATGGAATACGCTGTCGATCTCGACAAGCGAACGGCGCCGTGCACGTGCGGCTATTTCCAGTACATGAAGGCTCCATACTTTCATACCGTTGCTGCACTAAAGTCGGTCAACAAACTGCACTTTCACGTCATTTTTTTATGACTAATGGACGACCGACGCAAATCGACGCGCGTACCAGCCGTCGAAATGAGTCCTTGAACGACCTGCAATTCTGAGCTCATCAATCATCCCCGGTCCTAACGAAATGTAGTCGTCCTGCAGGGGGTTGCCGTAGCTCTTTCCTTAAAGGAAGCTAAGCTAAGGTCACAGACCTTACGTCTTTCCAAGAACCAGTACGAGTGTAGCGGATCGCTACATCCAAGTACAATTAAAGTTTCTTGAGGCAAACAAATACTTCTGTTCGAAACTGAAAGTAATTAATTGTTTTAGTTGCGGCAGAGTGTCAATACCTAAAACCCTAGGTTTTTCTAATTACTATACTGGTACCTAATCAATATAGCAAAATCTAATTAAACATTACTACTGGCAATTCTGTCACGTGGTACTTTCTTGTTACAGCGTAGCCACACCACTGTGTGGTTACAGTAACTATGTAATACGCACGTATGTACGTTCGCACAATCTTGTGCGACCCGCCCATTCTTGTGCAGCGTGCCCATTCCTACAAGGGTACGCGTAACCCCGTTACACGCCCAAAGAAAAAAAATGAAGCGCATTGAGACTCAACCCACCTCTCCAGCCCTGACAAGATCAAGTGCGCCGTCTGTGTCGGATTAGATTTCAACAAGCGCTCGTACCAAATGAACTTAGTTAGTGAAGAGCAAAAGGCTGACAGATTAGCGTATATTCTTGCTGCATTTTCAGCCTCACATGGTATAATCTGCAGAGTTCATTTCAATTACGCATGGAAGATGGAATCCTTTGCTCCAACAAAGAGCGAAAGCGAGAGCCTCTATCGTAACTGGTTGTCTACGTTACTAATCAATTTCAAGATTTTATTCAGAATTACTTGACCTTAATATATAGGTGTAACAATATTTCATGATAATGATATTTTAATTATCAGCCCCGAAAGCTATCGTATCGATACTTTGGTACTGATGAATTTTTGCATCACACAAAAGTGCAAAGTGAAATTCGCACGATTGTAGATTATTTTATAAATACTTTGAGCAAGTATACAACAGTGTAAATGATACAGTTCTTATCCCATTACAGTTTTCTTTCTTAAAATGGAAAACACAATAGGGTTCACACAACCTTTGTATTATCAAAGCATTGCGGAGAATTAAACGCCGAATAAGCATTTGCTTCGCTTGCAAACTCATTCCAGCCTTTGCAATTTACATTACGACACCCCGCCGCGACGCTCACCGGCTCGTCACGAGCAAATTGAAATTGTCTCAGGGAGCCCACTTGCACAGTTATAATCGCAAGAGCTCGCCGACTCTTGCCCAAATCATATCGTCTTTTTGACGGTATTCAATCGACTGAACTGGCGGAGCTCTAACACATCCTATGCAACGGGGCCTTCCGTTTTTACCGAGAGCAAACGGGCAGCAGGAGAAGCTCTCTATCTATACAGGTTATTACTCCTCAGAAGTATCGCCCTCGCTAAGAGCCCCTACAGCTGATGAAATCCGTACCCTTCATGAGATGTAACGGGAATTGTCCATCCGTATACACACTTTTTTCTGATAAAAGCTTCGGTCAACTGACACGCCTTACTGCGTGTTGCTCGCTTCGGACGGGCCGCTCACTTACGTAGAGAGTAGGAAAGGTGATTAATTATTATAGTCAATAGGCTTCAAACCTATCTACCCTGATAAGTACTTCCAGTTCTGATACAATGGAACTGAAAGTGGATATACAACTAGATATGGTATATGGTTAATGTTTGACATACCAAAAATGTGGGATACACAACATGTGTCGTGATACCTGGCCCATTACATTAGGGGTGTACCTTGGCTGCTCAAAGTTGCAAGAATGCCGATAATGGCTCCTGCAAAACTTTCCATGATATTCTCC